GAGAGCCCGCGGGGCCTGGCCACGCTGAACCCGCCTTTTCCAGCAGACGTGTGAAGGGCCGTGGCCCCCCAGGAGCGCGGGCCGAGTGGGTCAGACCCCGGCCCCCCAGACCCCGACGCCGGCCCTGACCGCTCCCAACACCCCTCGGGTGCCCTGAAACCACCTGTCTCCGGCCTGGCGCCGCAGACACAGGCTGGGAACACGCCTGGACAGCCCCGGGCAGGGGTCCACTCACCCAGATGCCCGCCGCCCGACAGCCATTCATCTCCGTAGCGAGGGGGGCGGGGTAGGGCGCCCCTCCCTCTTGTCAGGACCATGCCAGGGAGGGGTCAGAAGCGGCCAGGCGTCAGCGGAGTGTAAGGACGGCTAGCAACGGGGAAACGCTGAGAAACGGGTGGTGGAAGGGAAACTTCTTTGCTCCCTCTGACAGGCAGGGAATTTGTTTCCTCCGAGAATCCGTTTTGAGGTCTGGGCTGGGGCCCTCTCTGCGCCTCTCAGAAGATGGTCACCCCGCGCCGAGCACCCGCTGTCCCGTGGCGCAGGCTCCTCAGCTGTGTGGAGGCGTCTTGCGGTCAGAGCGCTGGGCGCAGAGCGTCTTCCTTTAGTCACTGTATCCCTGGTTACCAAAGGAAGGCGAGCGGCCAGACGTACCTTAGGGTCAGTTCTCAGAGGGGAGAGTGAGTGCGGGGTCACTCCGCCCGCTTCCGCGGACCCTTCCCTGGGCTGCGGCCATGGGCACCATCACCCACTGTTCCCCTGCTCTGTGAACAAGGCGCCACGCAAGTGGGGTTGTTCGTTTTTGCCGCTTACAGCTATACATATAATTGAATTTTGAATGTTTTAAAAATTAACTTATTTACAGCTACTTTACACCGCGCTTGCTCTTTGTAGGCTGCTGCTTTCTCGTGGAAGCCCTGCGGCCTCCCCCCAGTGCCCGCACCAGCCCCTGGTCCCTCCTGTAAACACACTCCCGAGCTGTGTGCTCCTGGCTGGGTGCTGCCATCGCTACTTGCCTGTTAATTGTGGTTTCGACCATTATAATTATTTCTCTAGGTCCTATTCGGTCCCCCACATTCCTCCTGCGGCCATCTGATAGTTTTCTTTTCCTTCTGGCTTGTTTCAGCAGTACGCTCCCGCCCAGCTCCCTGCCTGTTGCTGTGATGGGTGAGTCCGTCTTTTCTGATGGCTGAGCGGCCCATTGTGCATGCAGACGCGCCTTCTGGCGCCAGCCGTCTACTGCATCGGGGTTGCATCCGGGGCTTCCCTATTGTAACTAGCGCTGCAGTGAGCACAGGGGTGCAGGAGTGCTTTTGAGTTGATGTGTGTGTGTCCTTTGGGTATGTCCCCGGGAGTGGAATTGCTGGGCCACGTGGTGGCTCCATTCGCAGTGGCCTGAGGACCCCACACCACTGTGCATGGTGGCCGGGCCCGTCTGCACCCCACCAGCAGGGCAGGGGAGCTCCTTTTTCTGCACACCCTCACGAGCATTGGCTGTTTCCTGTTTGTTTTGTTGTTTTAAGGTGCCATTCTCGCTGGTGGCATCTCATTGTGGTTTTGAGCTGCATCTCCGATTCCAAGTGGTGTTGGACATTTTTTCACATGCTTGCTGGCCATCTGCGTCCCCTCTGTGGAGAAGTGTCTTCTTAGCTCTCCAGCCCATTCTTCATGGCGTTGTTTACTTTGTTTTTGTGAGCCGCATCAGCTCTTTGTAGCTCTTTGTGCTCAGTCCCTTATCAGTAGTGCTGTGTGCATTTCCCTGGTCAGTGGGGTTTCTCTTTGCCTTGGTTAATGTCTCTTTTGCTCCAGCAGTCTGATGCAGGAGTCTGACGCCTGCTTGGGCTCGCACCCTGTGCTAGAGCACTGAGGGTCTCGACTTCCAAGCCTGGGTCACTGGTCATCCAGTCCCTTCTGCCCACACCTCCTTGCATGAGTCAGCTTTTAACCTTGCCAGTCTCCTTCAGGCTTCCTGTGCTTTTCCTCCACCAGATGGAAGCCAAGTGATGGTGTGGTGTCTGCTCTAAGGCAACAGTTTGCAGGGGAAGTTTCCATGTAGATGCTGAGCG